CCCCTTTCTCCCCCCACCTTCTCCTTACCCTCCTGGTATCAATAATCTCATTATTGTTCCTGAGGGGTTTATCTGTCCTAGATTCCCTGTGTTTTGAGCTCCAATGTCTGTCTGCTACCTTAATACTTAAAATACAAATATATGTATATAGATCTATTTCCCTATCATTGCATATAAATATATTTACATATACACATGTCTGTATTTAGACCTCTATAAGTGTCCTTAGCCTCCTAGTTCTTTCCTCTATTTCCTTTTACTTTCCTCTTGTCCCACTATAATGTTTGGCTTTCATTCAGGTTTCAGTAATTGCCCTTGATCAAACCCTACTAGGCTTGCTATACCCTCCTCACCATCAAATTTAGATCACTTGTTGTTCCCTTGTCCCTAGGTTTATTAACATCCACTTCCTTTCTCCCTCCGACTATGAGTCTGTTGTTTTCTTCTCCAGATTGTCTATCCTTCCTATCTTATCTAGATAGAAATGCAGAGACAAAAATAAGCACAAAAACAAGACAGAGCAAAACAAAACAAAAAAACACAAATGACAAAAAAGAAAAAAGGTCTATAACTAGTTCCAGGTCTGTTTGTTGACCTTTAGGAATGTTTTCTGATCAACTCTGATAGGGCTCAATGCCCTGACCCCACAGTCTATTTTTGGGATTCCCCAGGGACTTCATTGCTTTGCTCCCCTTGCTGCTCTGTTGCATGCTCTTAGCGTTTTACCCTAGTGTGGTGGGATCAGATTGGGCACAATTCCTGCACTGTGCCTCCAGTGTTGTCCCTTGTAGCCCTGTGGGCCAGTGGGCCTTGTCTTATGGTGGGCTGGCACTATGGTCCTCTCTGCATTGGCTGCTACGAGCAGAAATATTGAACCTCGGGGCTTGGTGGGTGAGGATATGTTCCACTCTCTCTCCTTCCCTTTTCGTTTGCTCCTGTTTGTTCTGATCAGACACGCCCCTCTCCCTTAACTGTAGTTTCAGTGCTGTCCTCTGAAGTGAATTCTTGGAGAGCGGCGGGGGTCCACATCGTTGGGATAGGGGCCGACCCTGCAGACCTCTCTATTAGTTCGCTGCTTCATGTCGGTAGGTTGCATTCACACCTTGGCGCACTAGGTTGATGTCTGGTTCCTCTCTACCTCTCCTGTGGAGATATAAACAACACCATCCCCTTTGGTGGGTTAGTGTCCTGTTCCCCCACTACCCATGTCTTTTTGTTTTTCTTTTCCCCTCCTTTTAGTTGTGTGCCATATGTATCCTTGGATCAAGTCTGGCCCCTGCCATACTACCTGGACGTCATCCCAGGAATGTATGTATTCAGTAGGTTTCCCCTATGCCCCCTTTGCATTTTTAAGCTTACCTCAGTGGACTCATGTTGTACTTGTATTTTTGTGCTTGGTTTACCTAGCTTAGCATAATTTCCTCCAGTTCGTCCCATACAGTAATGTGCTTCATGCATTCATCACCGCTTTGTAGGGATGCATAATACTCCATTTTATGTATGTATCACAGTTTTTAATCTATTCATCCATTGATAGAAATGAGGGTAGTTTCCAGCACCTTGCGATTGTGAACTGTGCCGCGATGAATATTGGAGCACATATATCTGTCCGAGATTTGTTTCTTGCCTCTTCTGGGTATATGCCCATTAGGGAGACTACTGGGTCATATGGTAACTCGATTTCCACTTGTTTTACATATTGCCGAATTGATTTCCATAGTGGCTGTACATACCTACAGGTCCACCAGCAGTGGATGAGAGTTCTTATCTCATCACAGCCCTTCCAACACCTGTTACTTTCTGATTTTTTGAGTTGGGCTATCTTTCAGGATGTTAGGTGGTATCTCACAGTTGTTTTAATTTGCATTTCTCTTATGACTAATGATGGGGAACATTTTCTCATGTTTTTTGGCCATTCAGATTTTTGTCCTTATGAAATTTCTGTTAAGGTCCTTTGCCTGCCTCCTCAGTGGGCAATTCGTTTTTTGTGGGTTTTTTTATTGGAAGCTAGTGAGTCCTGTAAATTTTAGTAATAAGACATTTGTCTGATGTGTCATTGCTAAAGATATTTTCCCAGTCTGTGGGCTTTCTTATTACTCTCCTGGTGAATTCTTTCGATGTACACAGGTGTTTTATCTTCAGTATATCCCACTTGTCAATATGGTTGAAGAAAGAAAAGGAAAGAGAAAAAAGATAAGAGAAAAGAAAAATAAAAGAAAGAAAGTGTGTTAGTCCGGGTACATTAGAGAAACTAATCCAAAGAAACTCATATGTATAAGAGAGAGTTTTATATAAAGGGTAAGTGCACCTCAAGAAAACATCCCAACCCAGTGCTGCCCAAGCCCACAAGTCCAACATTAGCCCATATGTCTGATACCAATCCACAAAGCCCTCCT